CTTTCAGAGATGGTTTTGGCATCCAGGCTAAGTATCTTGTCATTACTGGTCATTAAACCCCAACAATTACATAACAAAATATTAGGAGGGGGCTGTTTGAAATCTAGTTTGTCAGCTCGCGTCTCTGCAGTGGAAGGCACTCAGGATAACACTGGAAGCCTTTGGAAGAGATAGCCCATGGAGGTGCAATGCATAATGGGAGCTTGGCAGGCTGCAGGGACAAGAGACCCAGAAGAACAGCCCACCCGCAGAGCTGGGGAAGGGTCTTTCAGGGGCAAAAGCTGGGCCAATGCAGCGCTTGGGAGGAATAGTATTTGGGAGCAGTAGCTCTTCTTTAGGAATCAAGAAAATACAGCATTCTAGCGTTTTATGAAGAATCACAGCTCTTTGAATAAAATGGGAGATGAGAACTGGTATCAGATCTTATTACTGTGTCATCAAAGGCAAAGAGAATTCAGTGTTGGTAGAGGAAAGATGACCAGCCACAGAAGGTCTGAAGATGGCTGGGCTTTTCGTGGGCCTGAAGAGCTGAAAGGGCAGCTGTGTGCCCCGGGCTGCAGAGGTGAAGGAATGCCTTCACACATTACGCAGGACAGAGATACTGAAGTGTGAAACAATCTGAGATGCAAGACCTGACAGTGGGCCAGGTCACAGCTCTGTCACGGGACAAAGTGCCTTTGGCATACGTGTGACTTGAAACTGAAGTCACTTCCTAAAGACCTTTTCTTGAAATTTACCTTTGTTGTGTAACAGGAACTTTAGAAGTATTGCACAATCTTTGAATCTGGAGTACTAGATCTGACAAGTCCCCGTTCTCTAGCTGATAAGCTATCAGGTTTTGTAAATCTTCCTTTTTTTTCCTGCAAGTTTCAGTTTTGACTTATGAGGAGTGGCAGCCAAGCAGCTATGTGAAGTGCTGTAATTTTGCAAGCATCTCAGAAGCTGTAAAATAAAAAAAAAAAAAAAAAAGGCAAGTGAGGAAAATAAAATGTAAACCTAAACAATATGCCACACAATAATGGGAGAAGAACTTTTTTGTCTTGTACATCAGAAGCCTGGATTATAAGCACAAGAAATTACAAGTGCTTATTTAGGAACACACATTTAATGTAATGGATGTCACTGGAAAACTGTGAAAGACAAATGGGTACTGAAACGTTTGGTTATTAGCTCCCTAGAAACGTCAGTATCAGATTCAAAGGAAGGGAGTGGAATTTGGTTTACATGACCATGGTTTTGAAACAGGAGTCAATGCTTTTCCAACAGTGAGAATAAATGAGAATTAATTGGTTCATGCCACAGTTCAATAAACACAGTAGAAATTAGTAGTTGTTTAAAGAGCTGGTCATGCAAAATGTGCTGTGTCAAGTGATGAAACTGAATACACTTCGACATACAAACTGACCAAGGATTAATTCAGCAATATATTTACTTAGTGTTCAGAAATGTTCATTTCACAGGGCTGAAAACAAGTATGAGCCACACCCGCTGGAGGGAGAGCAAAGAGAATCTAAATTGGAAAAGAAACCTGCCTGGGTGTCGTGCTTTAACTC